GGGGGGGGGGGGGCGGTCATGCTTGGCTTCTTCTGGAGCTGATTGGTTTATTTACGTGTTGAGGAGAACCAATCACAGACAGGCAGGGAAGCGTTTGTTTTCTGATTGGTTCCAGCCAATCAGCTGAATCAGAATTGCCGTCTGTCTCTCATCCTGGCTGCCTATTGGTCGAGGGTAGAAGGGAGGGAGGTTGGGCGGGCACAGCCAAGACTAGAAATTGAGGTGGGAGGGGCTTAACTGGCCTTGTGTTTAACGCACACACATAACACACACACATACATACATACATACACAGTGTGGCCAGTCCAACAGGTGTAAACAGTAGAAAAAGATTCTTATTGAACTGCTCAGTCTCTTCGTCATTATTACTTTTCTGTTCTGCAGCTCGTTCATGGCACTGAACTCAAATCTTGACACTGAACCCGTCTTTCTGTCCGTTTTTATCAGGGATGCTCCGATCAGAACCAGCTGATAAATGATGGAAATTTCTGATTGTAAAATTCAACAAATTAAAAATTACGTTTATGCTGAAAAATCCATCATCGCTGTTCAAAACTACGACTGGTTATTGTTTTATTTTTGTGACACTCGACCTGAAACGATACCTAGCCCTTGAACCCACCACATGTAATTGGAAAGTTTCTACCTTTGACTGAATGGTGATCACAGTCACCACGTCCACCATCTCTGTTTGTCTAAGGATGTTACGACTTTACAGGAAGTTATGGTTGGATAAAGTGTTTTGAATCTTTGGGTCTTTCCTCCTGTCATTAAGAGACTGGAAGCTTCAGAGTATCAGAGACACAATGAAATCTTATATCTTACAGCCATTGAAAACTTTGGCCAAAGATAATTCATCAATTTATTACAGTTCCAATCCCTCAGAAAACTCTACGAAGGTCTGAAGTTCTTCTTTAAATACTGTTTGTCTTACTTGATCATCATCAAATGACACAAGCTCTGATTAACGTACTGAAACAGTAAAAAAGAAGCGTATAGATGTCAGTATTGTCGGGACTCACTGCTTCACTGTTGACTCAAATGCAGTATCTGTAAGTGGCATTAGCCCAACAGCACGTTATGGATGTTGGGATGTGTCAGAGTTTCAGACGTGTGGAGGATTGCCCATCCTGCAGAACTGAGTTTGAGCAGCTGCAAGGTTATGTGGCCCTGTGGATCCCACCCTTCTAGATTCTTACCGTAACCAACAACCTCTGACCTGAAACATAATCATTTTCCACGTTGCTTGTTCTCTAATATCTCACCACTTGCACTTATAGTCTTTAATCTTGTGCTTAAAATAAAACTTCCCAGTGCTTCTGTCCAGAAAAACCTTGTGGGATCTGAACCTTTTTCACAATGTTTAAAAGCTTCCACTCAAGTTGTGACAGATAAAACCAGTGGGGGCAGAGTCAAGGTGCTAGTATGCTTCAACCAAAGTGCTTTTCAGGAGTTATTGGAAACTTCTTTTGCAAGAATACTTGGTGTGACCATTTCTAAGAGGTACAAACATTTTGGCCTTTAGAAGAACATAACCTGGCTTTCATTATTGACAGACCTGATGGAGGGTGATGGGTTTTAAAGGGTTTCTCATGCAGAAAATTCCTGCAAAACGTTTTAAGAACGGAAACCAGTCAGTGATCAGCACTAGTTTGTATGATGACATCATATAAACCCTGATCGGAGCATCTCTAGTCTCCTTGGCATTGTGCCTGTCTATCAGCAGGTTCTGGATTCTGGAGTCTTTGTGCTGATGTGGTTCTTGGTCAGCACAACCAAAAACCATGTTTCTGGTTCTAGCAAGACTAGACAGGCCTGGAGCCATGGTTCTAAACGTGTAGCGGCAGCAGTCTGGATTCTGTAACCATGTCTTGGACCATTAAGACTAATGGCTATGGCTCTGGCTTCAGTAGGTTCAGTACCTATGGTTGTTTGACCCTGAGACCATGAACCAGAGCCATGTCTAGGAACAGGTACGACAGCTAGCTTTGGCTCGATCAGTAGCCAGGGTTCTGTTACCACTTAGACCAGAACCCATGTTTCTTGGACCAGTAGGACCACTGGCCATGGCTCTATTTTCAGTGGGACAAGTAGCCCTTGTTCTAGACTTGTAGAACCAGTAACCATGGATCTTAGACCAGTAAGAACAGTGGCTGTGGTTCTGATGTCAGTAGGACAACTAGCCATGGTTCTGTTCCCTTAAAGACCAGAACACAAGTGTCTTTGACCAGAAAGACCAGTGGCTGTGGCTCTAAATCCAGTAGGGCCAATGGTCCTAGTTCTAGGCTTGTAGAACCAGTGTCCACTGATCTTAGACCAATAAGACTATAGTCTGTGGTTCCAGCTTTAGTAGAACCAGGGGGCATGGATGTGGGCTAGTAGAACCAGTACCCATTAATCTTGTATCAGTAGCTTGCGTTGTGGTTCCAGTAGGATCAGTGGTCATAGTTCTGGTTCCAGTGACACCAGTAGTACCAGTTTGCAGAACTGGTTAAGATGAAAAGGTGAGGAGTTTTTCCAGTCCATTGTGTGCTTTCAGGCTCCTTTAGCAGTTTAAGGGTCAAACGTAGTGGTTAAACGTCAAAGTTCATCCAGGGGGTGTATGTAGCACCATGGGGGTCCACTCTGAACCAGTTTGGATGGGTCTAACCCAGTTTGACTTAACTTTGTTGTATTGTTCTCCTGTATTCCAGTCTGGTTTCAACCAGTTTAATCCAGTTAGATCCAGGTTTGTCTGCTATAAGGAGCTATTACTCACCTGCCCCACCCCAAACCCTGCCCCCAGCAAATCTCCCGGTTGGCTCCACTTGATTGGACCACAATCATCTCCTTGGCCAATAGAAAGCTCAGGGGGTCCCAGGTCACTGCCAATTGGCTGAGGGGAGTGGCTACTGTTGGTGGTGCCATCAGTGTGATTGGCCAGCAGACAGGAGGAGGTTGGGTTTCGACTGATGACGAGATCCAAGCGATTTGGAGACTCTGCGATCAGAGGAACGACCAGGCAGCAGTCGAAGTCCCTGGTTCGCACGTGGTTAATCTGTAAAACAGAAAAGGTGTTGACAAACAGATTTTTGGATGAAGGGCGGTGACTGTATCGTTTTCATTAGCAGCCTCTCAATGGGAAAACCACTCAATTACACCAAACAGCACTGTAACAGTTTAGGTCTAGGTTTATCACCATGACATATCCACCAGGTTTTTGTACCTGTAATATTCGGTCATAGGCTCGGAGGCCACCCCGCTCCGCCGGACCCCCAGTTCGAATGTTGTTAACGTAGACGCCACGGTCCAACAAACCATCAGAAACACTGAAACCAAAGTCCTCCAGGTCCGAGTTTTTGTCCAGAGTCAACTGCAAATATAAACACTCTCTGTTAGCATCAGAACCTGTGGATTACCGTGTTGTCATGGCGACGTGTGGTTGTCAGTGATCAATGTTCACCTTATGGAGTTCCACAGGGTTCTGGTTTAGGATCTCATTGACTTCCTGCCTCATCTTCCTCATGGCAAAGGCTCGGCGTTGGGGGTCAGAGGGTAAGGTGTTGGACCGAGGGGTCACCTGGGAAGGTTGACAGGAATAATTCTTAAAAATGTTAAACACACAAACAGAAATACTTCTACGATGTGACAGGTTTAGTCGAACAGTCTGAGTGAGAGTAACCTGGGGTCGGGTGCTGCTGCGCTCCTGAAAACTCGCCTGGCGTCCCAGAGTGCTGCGCAGGGGGGTGGGGTCATGGTTCAGACTGAGGGTGGAGCCCGACATGATGGTTGCCTGGAGACATCAGAGAAAAAACAGTGAATCAGAACCATTCAATCAGAAACAGCTTGTGAAGAATTCTCTCTTGGATCCAATAAAAACATGGTGACGACCTCTGACCCCAGCTGGCACGATCACACCAGCACAGGTTTCTACTGTGACAGATTCTACTGTCGTTCTACCGACATTTTATGAAGTTGCTTCTGTTTTTGCAGATGTGGAAAGTTTCTGAGGACTAGATCTACTTTCAGGATCTGATCTGAGGCTCTACTCTGCTCCTCTGATGATCTTCTGCTGATTCTGTGATGTTCAGGATCTGATTCTGCTTCTTTTTATCTGAAGAATCTGTTTCTATTGAACCTGCTCTCGTTTCTACTGAGATTCTACCTCATTTTTTCACGTCACTCAACAGACGGTCACTCCTCAGCCAATCAGAATCAAGGACTCATCAGACGCATGCATGACTGACAGATCTGCTTCAAGACGGGCAAGACAAACTACCCATCAGGCCTTGCACAAGCTCTCCCAGCATGCCTTGCTCAAACTGCCATGCCTGGTGCAACATGACTCTGCCACATGATTGGCCAGAAGCTGGGTGATGTCACTAAGATGTCACAATAACGTCACCATGGTCGGTAGCTTGCTGCTGGGGGTGCGGTTAGAGTCACATTCAAAAAACAGATAACATGTTGGACGTTTGATGATGCTAGAAGAAAATGTCCAGTTACAGAGAGAAGAGGACAGAGGAGAGTTAGTGGAGAGGAGGAGGAGGAGGAGGAGGATACCAGAGCGAGGAGGTGCGTCTCCTGATCAGTCTCCTGGAAGAGAAGGAGTCATTTGTCTTTTCAGCTCAGTCACTAATATTAACTGCTGCAGTTCCAAACAACATAAAAACATTTAGCAACTAGAAAAGTTCACACTAAAACTGCTGCTGCTACTTTTACTACTGACATTACTGCTGCTGTGAACAGCTGGGCCGGAATTCAATATCTGTCTTTAGAAAGAAATCATCGTGTTGTTTTACGTCTTAATGGATTTAAAGGTCCAGTTCGTAACATTTAGTTCGTAAAGTTTTTGTACGACTGATTCGCACATTTGAGACATTTTGACTTTTGGTGACGGAGCCACTCACCTCCAGCTCCCTGAGGATGCCGCTCTGTCCGCACGTCTCCAGATCCTCCAGAGCCTGAGACCAGAAGTTCTCCTCCTGGTCCGGTTCCGTCCCATCATGCCCCACGGTGAACCTGGAGGAGAAGGTGACGGGTCAGCCAATCAGAGAGAACAACCAGACACACACACACACACACACACAGTGAGGAGGCTGGTGACGGACAGGTCATGCTGGTGAGAGAGTGGGCGGGAGCTGACGACATACACGTCCATCTGGTGTATGTGTCAGTGTGGCGGGGGTCGAAGGTCACCAGGTGAGGGGTCGGCTGGAGGTCAGACAGGACTGTGTGGGGGGGGGGGTTAAAGGTCAAAGATCAGTGTGATACCTGCTGTCAGTGATTAGACCGCTGGGCAGGTTACAGGCTCTGCAGACAGAGACACACTGCTGTTACGGTGTTAGCTCCCCGCTAGCAACCGCCACTGATTGGAATAAGAAATGCTAACATGCTAAAGTGGTGTGAGAAGCAGCTGTGGACATCTGGACGATGTTTTGAATCACGTTCTGCAGGTTGATCCTCGATTGTTGTAAACAGGAAACAAATCTGTGATTTCAGTTCAATCCTGTTACTGTTTGAAGCTTCCTAGTTTCAAGGTTCATCCTCATATAATTATTATATTTTCACAGGTTTTCTTTGTCTTCAATAATCATTTCAAACACCTCACTATGAATTTAAGTTTTCTGTCTCTGTCTCTCTCACCCTCCGAGTGGTGGGCGGTCCCAGTCGTCGTCACTCAGGCCCAGATCTGACAGCGGATTGGCTCGCTGGCGAGTCGAGGACGACGATTGGCTGTTGATCGTCTTGGCATTGCGCCACTCGTGGAAAGTGTACGGAGACGACTGAAACGGTGGAGCTGCAAACAAACCAAGAAAATAATTCATGTGTTGCTTTACACAGGAACTCGTTTCTCTAGAGTTCAGACAAAAAACAAACAGGAACAAAAGGACACCTTGAGTGTGAGGGGTCTAAACCCGAGGGCCCATCATCAGACAACTGATGAACCAATGAACCAATTTACCAAAAAATACTTTATTCATTTATTTTCAGTATTAAAAAAAGTCCTGATTTGAGGACGAAGCTCAGGGGTCAGAGGTCAGGTTCCTACCCGGCGAGGTGAAGCTACTGTCCATGTTGGATCCGTCCCACGACTCCACGGCGCTGTCGACGGACGGTAAAGTGCTGAACGCTCTCTGGCTCGATGGAGGCACAACCATGATGACAGGCTCCTCCTCCCCGTCCTGGTTCTCCTGACTGAGCCCCACCCCCAAGCCCATGCCTGGACCAATCACGCACGACTTTGGACTCGACACTTTAAGAAAACATAAAGTTTATTTTTTAAAAACACTTCAAAGTCACTGTTGCGTCAATATAATTTAATAGAATGGATTGTTTGTGTGTGTGTGTGTGTGTGTGTGTGTGAGCACACGTACGCTCGCCCTGCTTCTTGATCTTCAGCGTCACCGTCTCGCCCGCCTGCTGCAGCAGACTGATGGCTTCACTCAGAGGTTTCCCCTTCAGGCTGCTGCTGTTGATCGCCAGGATACGATCGCCCACGTGGATCGCACCAGTCCTAACACACACACACACACACACACATATATATATATTATATATCTTTATTTATTTATTTAATATGCTAAAATTCAGATTCTATAAACACAGTCTAATAAAAAAGATATTTACTGTGATAAAAATAAATCGATGGAGAATAAAACATGATGTACGAGTTGAATGAAGTTGTATTATTTATTATGAGCAGCAGAGGGCGACCTTCTCTTCAGGCTGATCTAAGCGCATCTGTCACATCTGTAATGATTCATCTCTTGAACGTTTCACAGAAACACAGACTCAGTTTGTTTCAGCGATAAATCAAATCAGTGTTGACTCTAAATGTTCAACTTTATTAAATCTTCTTGATTTAAGTTCTGCAGCGTCTGTTGAGTCTTTACAGGAAAACTGACTCTGTGACTTTTCACTTTCTTTAATTTAATATCATTTATTGTTATTTATCGGATGTGAAGTAACGATGCGTGACTCTGCTTTGTGAACGGTGCTGTGTGAAAAACAATTTATTAAACAACTATTTGGATAAAGAGTCAGGAAACCAAAGTATTAACTTCACTGTTAATAAATGAAATAGAAAAGCAACAAATATTCACATATGGACAGTTGCATTATGTTTTATAGATGTTTCCATTTAGTTGTTTTAATTTGTCACTGTCTTCATCATATTCTGTTATTGACGATCTACTTCCTCGCTCTGTCTTTTAAAACAAACCTGTTTGCTTTATTTTTCCATTGTTCAAGTTATTTATTAATTTAAATGTTTAGTATAGTGGTTACCTCTCGGCCAGCCCGCCCTTACTCAGCGAGGAGATGATGATGGGGTCGAACGGCTCCTCGGTGCCAGAGATGGTGATTCCCAGCGGGCCACCGTATCTCTGCAGCTCCACAGTGTAGATGATGGTGCCGGACACTTCCTGTTCGTCTGAAACATGTAAATAAAGATCCATTCAACAGGTGAAGAACTGTAAACCTGAGATGACGACACAGGTGAAGAAGGAAATAAGTAAGTAATGATAAATGCAGTGAATTCAGCGGGAAAGAAACGTTGAGAAATAAAACCTGAGTTGTCTTCGTCTTTGCGGATCTTGAGTTTGACGAGTTCCTCACACTGCTGCAGGATCTGAACGGCCTCCTCCATCGAGCAGCTCTCGACACGGATGTTATCGATGGCCAGCAGCTTGTCTCCGAGCTCCAACGTCCCCGTCCTGAAAACAAAGAGGGAAACTGAATACAGGATGTGATGAAGCTGAGTCTGTTCAAACTGAGTCACAGTGAACAGATGCTCTTCGCTGGTGACTGAAGCTCTTTGAGTCACATTTTCTGCTTCACACACCCCAACACACATGACCTATAAAACACACACACACACACACACACAC